AGTCCCATCCTGAAGAGGTGTTTTTTGCAGGGGGCGTGTCCTGTTAAAAAGGCCACTATCCTCCTTATTTTTTGCCTGCTGAGACCTAGCAGTTCGTTTTTACGTACTGGTTGTGGAGGTCCCATCAACTGCTTTGCGGTATGGAGTGGCGGTGTCTCCTCCCAGTACTTTCTGTGTTGTTCCAAGATCCACTGCCCAACTGCCACCCTAACTTGGGCATGAGATATACCGCAAGCAGGTTCTTGGTTGGTCAGTGGTTTCTTGGTCCCTGCCTTAGCAAGTTCCGCATTCTGGTTTTCTTTGCTCCTGTTCGTACCAGTTGCCCAAGTGTTTTATTCTGTTTGAGCTCCCGGCCAGGGTTGTAAGTTCTTTTACACAATCTAGCACACATTGTGACCTGATTGTGTAAGATTCTAATGCCTTTATTGTTGCTTCATCTCCGGTTACGATGGTAATGTGCTTACGCGGTAGGGTCTTTCCTTCATTTTCCGGGCGCAATTTGTTATTGCTAGGATGTTATTGCAAACCGAATTACATAGTTTGTTATTCGACTTTTAGTAAAGTATAGGAATCATCTAAAACACCTTCTTGCAAAGACAATTATAAATTTGAAGCTTTTTCAAAAGCTTAGCTGGCTTGGGACCTACTTCTAAGGAAGAACAGAGACAATTGTGAGAATGTTTTATCGTTTTTATTTTTGCCACCAGATCTCCGATAACAAATAATGAAACAATACGATTCAACAGGTTGTAACATTGCTTTCCAATTTGATTCATGTACAGTACGATTCTTCCGATCCACATGTAACAATACCATTATACAATAAACCTACGATAGCAAACTGTTCGAACATGATATACTGGATTAACTGTAATTCTACTTGCATTACGGTTCATAATAAGTCTTTTTCCTTTGTTTCCAGTATTTTATTTGTCAAAAAATCAGGATACAAATAAATAAATTTACATCTAAGTAATGTAGTATATACAGTACTGTTCTTAGCTACGCCTGTTTGTAATTTAATGACGACCGATAAACAATGTTAAGGTACCAAAAAAAGGAGCAAACGCTAGGTCGTTTTTTTGGTTTCGTACCGCCCGGAATGATTTTCGTAAAGTTAGGCATAGTGAGGCATAACTAAAAACAATAAATGGAACAGGAAAATTTATCTAAGTCAGTCCTTAGGCAAAAGGTTTCTGACGACTGGAGATGGAGTGTTACAAAAAAGTAATGCGCGATACGGTAAAGTTGTTTAAACGATGAGGGTTTTGATTTCGTCGTACATGACCAATACGATGGCTCCTCCAGTTCCTCTGAGGACGTTGGAGAAGGCTCCCTTGAAGAAGGCACCAGTACCTAAGAAACGGAAAAAATATGTCAGTATGTATTTGCAACAAAACTAAGATAGCCAACCAAAGGAACATACAATAGAACGAACGCAAACTAAGCTTAAAACATAACTAGCGAAATTACCTTCTTGTTTGGCGATTGTGGCCCAGCAGTGAGCTGTGCTCTTGTAGATGACTTCACTCTTGGCACGTCCAGACTGCATCATCATACGCCTACGCACGGTGTCGAATGGATAAGAGATAATACCGGCAATGGTGGTGACAGTCTGAAAATATTAAGAATGTTCTCAAAACGTGCGCTCATTACAAAAAATGCAGTTGAATCATTTTGTTGCACGCATATCAAGTGTATAGGACGATCGCTTACCTGTGCAATAGCCCAAGAGATAAGAAGAGGAGTGTTCTTGGGGTCAGGCAAAATGCCCTTAGCGGTATCGTAGAAACCGAAGAAAGCGGCTCTGTAGATGATGATACCTTGGACAGAGACACCAAATCCCTTGTAGAGACCTCCAAGTCCATCAGATTTGAAGATCTTGACCAAGCAGTTACCCAAACCGCTGAATTCACGGTCAGCACCGGCTTTACCTACATCAGCGGCCAACCTGAAAACAGTTACTGTAAAGTATCAAATTTTTCACTCTTTATAGGCATATGAGCTTACCTGGTTCTGGCGAAATCGAGAGGATACACAAAACACAAAGACGTGGCTCCAGCGGCACCACCGGAGGCCAAGTTTCCTAAGAAGTACCTCCAGAATTGAGTTTTCTTGTCAACACCGCTCAAAAAGACCTGCTTGTACTTGTCTTTGAAAGCAAAGTTCAGAGCTTGAGTTGGGAAATATCTGGAATATAAAATAGAGCAATGTTAATTTCAATTATCGTTATTGATCGGACATAGAAACTTAAATAATAAAAACCGCAAAATTAGTAAATATGTGCTTGTAAAACATTACCTGATTACGTTAGCGGTGTTACCACGCCAGTAAGCCAATACACCTTGTTCCTTGGGGATACGGACAAAACAGTCGACCATACCTAAATAAATAAATCTCATTATTTTCAAATCTTACTTTCTGCTTGAAGGTTGAAAGAAGGGTTAATGTAACACAAGAAAACATCATTCGTTTCGCGTTTAGTTAATTTCTGCGTTCTAAGTCGTAATTTTGTTTGGTTTGATCTGGTTTTAACATGATCCAATTGATCACATGATCTAACACTCACGATTTTATTRATGGGCACTAGTAAAGTTGTTCCTTCAATCCWATGTTAAATATCACCGTTTTAGCTTCTTTAAAATRAGATTTACCGGTAAAGAGGCGTGTTATTGTTAAAAATACTGAMATTTTTTAAATGAGAGTTTAATTTTCAGTAGAACTATCAATGTAAATAAAGGTAATTATCAAACTGACTTTATATATATTTAGYTCGACATCTTGTTAGATAGTTATTTAAAATTKAAATACGTGCTGATTTGGCTATGTGCATTATATTGATAATACTTGATTAATATACAAGTTGGTAAACAATAGCACACATTGGGTATACAAATAACTTAATGTGCAATAATGGAATATGATATCACAAATACACGTGTTTACGAATTACGGAACAATATTTGTTTGTTAACGAATTATTCCATCCGCCAAAATTTTCTTTTATCTTGTTTGTTTTGCTTCCTTATGTGTGCATTATTATCAGAAAAATTATTAGCATTGGATTCCATTGCCTCAGTAATTGAAAACTACACCGAGATCTGTTTGGTAATGGTTGTGTAAACACATTTCGATATATTCCTAATAAAGTTGATTATATCGTTAAAGTGGTTGTTTAGAAGCAATTTACAAGAAGAGTTTGAGCACCCTGCCTATACATATTCATGTTTCATTGTCGAAAAATTGTAAAATCAAGACCAAATAAATATAATAAGTAATAAATTGACAATGAAATTGCTCTGAATTTCAATTGCTATTTTCTCGAGAGCTGTTGCTGGACATATCGAGGGCACCTATACAAGGTGATCAAGTCCAAAATTAATTTAATTACATTTTTTAGTTAATAGTACAAGTGCATCAGATAAAAATTAACTCAAAAAATTCCGCATGTGAAGTAATTGATTTTATATTCACATCCAAATTATCAAAATACTAAAAACTCAAAACTACTATTGGTGGACTTTCTCACCTTCTCTTGTAACCGACGATATCTCAGATGGAAAATCTTTAATTCGATGAAGAGGGATATTCGATGTTAGTCTTTCTAACTCGACAGTTTTTCATTCACTTTAACTTACTAATAAATAGTTAATTTATTATAATAATACATATATATTATTAGAAACTACTAATTTTACAAAAAAGCTATTCTTTCTAAAAAGTTGTGCTTTTTATGAAAACTGATTTAACGAGAAAAAGTTACTCTCGAAAGCAGAACATTGGAAATGCAGAAGAATCTTAATGATTTAAAATATTGTGTATATAGAATTTCATATAAGCATTTGTTATGTTATAAAGAAAAATGCTTCCACAAAATAGTATGTAATTGACTAATAATTAAAATAAACCTTATAAACTAATTAAAAAACTGGTCCATTCAATGAGTTGAGAATTTTCTCGCAATCTGCCTCAAAAATTGCTTTCAGTTATTCTAAAAATTAAAAGCTATTGAACTAAATCATATTTGTATCATCTCATAAAGCGTATCGTTTTGAAACTTGAATAATTGAGACTATTGACTAGGCAACCGTTATTCTTACCAAAACAGCATTTAAAATCGTATTCAAGTGTATTCGCAAAGATCACACCTTGCAGTTTATATCACATTTAATATACCTATAATAGGTTTAAGCCTAAGAATGTTTTGTTTGACTGGAAATGATCGCACTCATACGACTTCCAAATTTCAAGCGAAGTATTGTCTTTAGAATGCACAGAAGCGTTTTCAATGACGATAGCTACTTTAATATTAGACATTAAATGTTTAGTTACTGTAAATAGAAGTAATATTTGATTGTAATTAACTTTCCAATCACTTTGGCGTGGGTCCTAATTTACGTTTTTTTATCGATAAAATTCCAATAGAACAATAATGTAGGTTCGTCATGTTAACCTTTGCCCTAAATGCAGTAACCATTATTCGGCCTCATTTATCTTTTAACAGACAAATGCGTGCTACAGATATTACGGATTCTTAGGTTGTAAAATAGTTTGAAAGTAATTAGCCAACTTGGCCTTCCGACCTTAACCATTGAAAAATTCCCGGCATGTTCACGACGATGACGTTACGCTATAGATAACGTGCGCGATACGTCATCGCCATACTACACGTTAAGACGGAAGACACTGACTTATTTATGGTATTTTGGAATCCTGAAAGAAAGTCAAAGAAACTGTAATAGTTATTTTTGGCAACAAAATCGCCCTGATTACATAACGTAGTGCCAGTTGTCCTACTGACTGAGAGCATTGAAAACTTGGCACCATTTTGCTTTTCATTTATCGACCTTACTCGTGCAAAGTGTCAGTTGCGACGTTGGCAAGGCGCAATCTCCATTAGATGACACGGTATATATAATAGCCGATCTATCGACTCATTATGTAACATTTTCATTGGATTTTTAACTGATGTACAAAAGCCAGTGCAGGAAAACGTCGATTTCGTCAATGAAAAGCCCTGACCGCAGATATAGAGAATATGCGAAGTAATTCGCAGAGATCAAGCCGGCCTTTTAACTGAGTAAAGGAATGTAAAACAGGATGTTATAAATCCGGCAACGTTGCTAAACCTGCATGCTGGCCACGCGTCTGTCTGCACCATTTTGCTAAAATTATCCTCTAGCGAGTAAAAAATGCATTATCGCGAATTATTATTACTGGATTGCAATTGGGAGTATTTAATAGTAATCGATTTTTAAGGAATTCGATACAAACCCACTGCCAATTGGATAAGGCAGTGACGTGGAGACCTTGAATCACGAGGTTAAGCTGGTTAAGTCACTATGAAGAAAATGGCTTCTGAAAAACCTCGTGTAAGAGTAAGAGCGCGGATCGTTTCGACAAAATACCCGAAAAGTACTAAGAAACCCCACACATTCAATACATTTCTCCATAAAGTATGCGACAAATGTTCCGAACAGGTAGTTCAGATATGACCCGTTATGTAACCGCTCAAAAAATTATGGGCGTTCAACCCAACCCGGTGAATTACAGAACTTTAAAATGGGGTTAAGTCAGTTGGGCAGCAAAATGGCCGTTTTCTCTTACCTTTGTAACGTTGATCTTCGGGGATTTGCTTGGAAATGTGCTGTACTTGCAAAAGCAATTTCACACGTTCGATTGGGGCTACACATGTTTTGGATACAGCGGCAGAGATACCTCCAGCCAGGAAATCTTTGAAGAAGGCAACTGGGTCAGACAGAGACATTTTGTGGTAGGTTTGCAATAGGGCTTGAAATCAAGGGTACGAGCGACAATTATGTCCAGGTGTATTCGGACCGCGCACTAAACTGCCAGTGAAGTAGAGATTCAGCACGAAAAGCGAAGAGAGAGGGCCCCGGTCATGTGCCCAGACCCCGGGCTGTGGGACGGGAATAAATGTTGCGCACGCAATACTGTGACGTCAATTTCTCACAGTGAGGGCGCCCACGGAAGGTGAAGGATACGCTTTTATGTAATATATATTTTATTGATATTACTGAAGATGATGAGATGATGATGATGAGCATTGGGGCTTGCTCTAGTATACCCATATAGATATATTCACATTTTCCATCCAAAGGATTGGACTAAAGTTGATGTTGTGAACGAGAGCAAGAGGTTGACGTCGATATAGAAGCAAGAGTAATACAATCCTGCGTCTGTTGGAGCAATGAGGAGACATAATGACATTCGGCATATTAACGACTATGAACAACACTTCTATATCTACAATCCATTGGATCCTTCATATATTACCCCTTTGCTCCCATCTCGTATGTTAACTCACATTTGTTAAGAGAATGTCAAAAAAACCAGTTGCTGTTGGGAAATTTCTCGTCCATTTAGACCATTCCACAGTGAAGATGAATGATCTCTAGACCAGATATACAAGATGTGTTTTCAGTGCTTCGGATCTCTAGCCTAATAGTGCAGTCTGGTGCCCACGTTTTGCTTTCATCTGCGGTTAACATTTTCAACGGCGAAGCGATCTTGGTTGAAGTGTTCTCCCCTATAGAAAAATTGTCCAATAATGTGAAAGTTAACAAAACCACTTAACAACATAGTTAGTGCTCAGAAGTGATGAGACGCATGATTCTGGATTACAAATGAATGGTCCAATTTACATCCATGATTCATGGCTCAAGTGGAGTCGAATGTTAGAATGGAACTGTTTAGATATTTTATTTATTAGCTTGCTCATGATTTCCAAATTTGAACTCTGAAGAACTCATTAGTGAATTTACAGTAAAATTGTGAAGTTTCGAAGAAAGTCTTTTTGTGAAGACGTCTTTATGCGCTAGAGAAAAGATATGTGATGTTATTGCTAATAATGAGTAAGGAATGAATACGTTCTTGTACGCAACGGAAATGAAATGTAAAAGGTCTTCAGTTATAGGGAAATAAAGTAATATGTAAAGGGTCAGACCTTCAACAGAAGCCAGGAAAAAAGTTGCTTATAATCCATGAATTCTGAAACTTATGAATATTATTATGCAAGCTACTATCTGCAGCTTAATGGTGGAAATCGATAGCAAATGTTTTCCAAAGCCTAATAAAATTGATATTGAATCTAGWACTGTGAGAAATGTGAAAGGGAACAAAGTTAAGGTATACAAATTGTTCTCAAAAAACCTGGAAACCAAATGTTTTTTTGTGAAAATATACTGAAATGGGTGGACTGAGATAAGAATTTTATAAGCCATATWTCCTTTACGGATGACTGGTCATTTTTTTAGCATGAACTTGGATGACAATTCATGTTAATAGTWGAATTAGTTCAGTCTAATTTAKGTGCAATTGTCYAATTGGATATTAGACGAAATACTAAACTCTGTGAAAAATGCAGAAGGAGGTTTATTTACGATGGGCGGAAAAAATACGTGTTATGTTGATGACGCTAACATTCTGACAGAAAATAAAGACGATTTAGAATGATTCCTAKATTCATTTTACATWAAATCTAATTACTTCAACAAAGAAACCTTTGTCATCTCGAAGAATTTACTGAGATGAAAACATGCTCTCGGAACCTTAACTAGATTTTTTTTACCACTTGGGTGTAAACTCTCCTCAGGTTGAAATGAGTAAATGAATACAAAGCTAGCTGAATATTGGTCGCACTGTGGAACATCATCTGGAATAACGCCAATATGAGTAAAAGAACTAAAACCAAAATATGCAGATCTAAAATAACAGCAAAAGAACAAAAAATACATGTTAAGACACAAAAAGAAATACATATATAAGACACGAACGGCGGTGGAAGAGATAATCAGTTGGGGACGTAAGCCTAAAAGAGTTTGAATGATCAAGTAAAGAGAATATATTGGGAAAATTTTTTGAATCGCATAGGATTCTCATAGAAACTGTTCTGGACGTAAACATCTCAAGAGCTACTAATCTGGAAACTGGAAGCATAAGGGATTCAATACTTAGAAGATAAGAAGTGGCACCGTTTATAAGTTTGGTCTAATTGACCCAGACTATAAAAGGCAATTTTATAAAACACTTCAAATTTATAAATATTATGAAAATTGATATAAGTAACTAGCTATAGTTACTTATATCAATGAGTTGTGTTTAATGAGAAGAATTTTGAAACTTGGTACACTGCAGCTAACGATCTAATTTGTATGGATTCTTTATCACCAAATGCTTAGGCCTTTGCTCTTTATGAGTTAACTTTGTTTTCACGTTTGATTCATTCTTTTCAAATTCACGTTAAATCCGTAATTCGAAAATATTGGTAATAAACAAGAATTGACTACACCAATGGTGAGTGCGCGATTGGTTAAGGCGCTTCACGCAATCGGCGAAAAAGAACGTGAACGACATGAAATTACGTCTTTAAAATACGCGCGTGCAAACCTTTTTCCGAAATCTTACAACGTGAAATTTTTAATTTTCACCCTTGTTATCTCATTGGCCAAGGTCGCAGATTCATTTAGACAATTCATAACTGTAACAAGGTCGAGAACCTTTGTGGTTCCACAGCATGATAATTATTTCTTGAGCTGGGTTCAGATGGTTAAACTTTCAAACATATTTGATATGCCATTTCAGCTGAGAGCTGTACTTTTTTGTCTGGCCTAAAATTTAGGGAAAGTGAATAATAACCGCCGCCATCCTGTTCAATGCTTCGACCCTAAAGTTATTGAAGGCAGGTACAGAGAACCATCGGTGATGCCATTCTTTAAAGAACAATAACAAAGGGCGACTCTCGAAATATCTAGTTGATGTTCGCGTTCTTCCAAGTTACAACTTTGGATTTGTATTCCATATAATTATATATGGACAATATGATAAATAAAAATGACCAGAGATTAAAATTTTCCATTTAAATTTGTATTATTATTTTATATAAGAAAGTCTTCAAGCTGAAAAGTAAATTAAAGCAAAAAATTAGTCGAAAGATTTTGAATAGGTAGTTAAGGATCAGCGACGTTATTTTGAAAATCACAAGCAAAACTTTTCTGGAAAAAAATTTAAATAAGTATGTGTATTTATAGTTACAGCGCACCTAACATTAATGATTTTGGGCTAGGTCAATGTAAGTGCAGCCAAATTCTGAAATTAATATTTCGAAAATTATTAGATCGATAAATGAATACTGATGTGAGGAAGCGATAAGTTTTGTCTTGAATTTTAAAAACTGTCTACAGGTATAATGTACAATCACACGCCTAATTAAATTTCTTTAATTTATACATATTTTATTGTTATTATTATTTGATTCCTGCTTAAATTCGTTTGTATTTTCTATAAATTTAGTACTTCCTATAAATTATAGCACCAATTTAGTCCATCGCAAATATCTGTATTCTATTTTATTCATTAAAAGATGTATGCAGGAGCCAAAGGGAAAATAAATACAGTTGTTTATATTAATTATTATATTAT